GTGTCTGAGTGTGTCTATCTGTCTGCCTATATGTGTGTGTCTGTGTGTGTGTATATCTCGGTGTGCCTGTGTGCCCGTCTATGTTTGTCTGTGTGTGTATCTCTCTGTCAGCGTATGTGTATGTGTGTGTCTGTCTGTGTGTGTTTGTCTGAGAAAGGCAGTGTGTCTGTATTCACTAAGCACATCTTTAAGACAGCAGCAAACCGGAGACTGGAGTAGGGGCACAGAATGAGAGGGAAACAGAGAAAGAGAGGAAGAGGGAATGAGGGAGAGCGTGTGTTTGAGAGAGAATAAGGGACGGAGTGTGTGTGTGCGTCAATGAGAGAGGGAGAAAGAATGAAAGAGAAAGAGGAGAGAATTAAAGAATGAAAGAGAGGGTCAGAGGGAGAGAGAAATAGAGGGAGAGAGAATGAGAGTGAGAAAGAATGAGGGAGATAGAGAGAGAGTGAGGACGGGGAGCTGGTTGGAGGGATACAGTGGAGCTGGGGTTTGGCCAGAGTGTTTTGGGGTGGTGGGGGGAAGCAGTGACCTGTGGATCCTGGGATCTGAATTCTCCGGAAGCCCCCAAGCTCTGAGTGCACATCCCCACCCCCCTCCCTCTGCCCACATCCTGATCCCGGGCGAGGGTATTCCCCGGGAGGGGGCGGCTCTGTGTGCCGGGATAGGAGGCGGGCTCGGGTGGGGCGGGGCGGTCTCACCCTCTCGGCTCAAACTGAAGGGATTGTGTTAAAAACGGAGCTGAATCGTGCTCCATGCAGTTTCCGGCCAGAGGGAGACGGGGCTGGAAGGTCTGGCACTCGCTTTGTCTTTCAGAGAGACAGAGACAGAGAGACGGGGGAAGGGGTGGGGGAAGCCTGGATCTCCGGTTGAAGCAGCGGCTGTGGTAATTACACATTCCAGTGACATTCCCAACAGCAGGAGCAGGGGTTTGGGAATCAATGTTGAAGGAAATGTTTGCGAACTGGCTTTATGGATAGACCGAAAATATGAAGCAAACATGTGGAAGACACGAAGCCAGAGTTTGGTCTTCCTTGGGTGGGGGGTAGGGGCTGCTGGCTGATTAAAACGTTTCAAATCCAGTTGAAATGAGGAACCGGATTTCTGACCATTAACTGGGTTAGGTTCACTTCAGGTGAATTGGGTTTGAGCTGCACTGGGCCGGGTTAGTTTGGATTGGGCTAGGCTGAGTGAGTTGACGTGGATTGGGTTGATTTGGGTAAGGATGTGCTGGTTTGTGTTGGGTTAGTTTGGATTGTGTTGATTTGGGTTAGGTTGTGCTGGTTTGTGTTGGGTTAGGTTGGATTGGGTTAGGATGTGCTG